TTCTGACTGTTGGGCTCGTACTCGGACCGGCCTGACCCGTGGCCCGGGAGGGCCCAACGGATACTCGGTATGGGCAGGGAGCAGGGGCGTCTAACAGGTTGCCGGGTCGGTCCAGTTTGAACTGGCCCGACCCAGCTAATATAAAATAATAAAAAAAAATAAAAGAAAAAATAAAGAAACCGTTGCCGGCGGTCGGCCCGTGACCTGACCCGGCCTGGACCGCCCGGACAAAAAAAAAATCCATGAACCTGGACCGAACCGCGGCCCTTGCGGTTCGGTCCAACGGATCGGCCCTTATGTGGCCGGTTACGGGCCGGTTCTAGCCGGTTTGAGATCAGTTTCTGGTCTGAGTTGGCCCGCAGCCATGTTGTAACGCCCCACTTTTATATGCCGAAATTCAGAATAAATTTTTTAAAATTTATTTCAAAACACTTGAGGCGCTACCCTTTTCAAAAACAATTTCAACAATATCACATATGCAATTCCCAACGAGTTCAATAATCATAAATTGTCAACACCCAAACCGGGTTCAATCATCGTAAATAGTCAACACCCAAACCGGGTTCATAAATGACATCAACTCCCAAAACTGGGTTCATCAAATCCATAATACTAGGGAGTACACTCCCTATCGATAATCCAGTATTCAACATAAGTCAGGAATGCATAATTCATAATAAGCAATTTAAACAGCGGAAATAATCAATAACAATATGACCACCACTCGCCTCCTTCTGTCGTGCCCGCATTTACTAACCTGCATCAATGAAGAGCAGGTGGGGATGAGCACAATAGGAAATCGAGGTGCTCACCACTATGCAATAAACATTTACATATCAAACGGTAACAGAGAAAGTACGATCACAACATGTATATGAATCAATTCAAGTATCCCAAGTTTCATCGTAAATTCACAGTGTCCACACTCATGTGCACACCTATAGTAATAGACTACTGCCAAACTATATACCGAACGCCTTATCTAAGGCCTTACAACGAGTGTCCGGCCAGTAGGAGTATCCCGCCGGCCAACGCCTCACCTTGGTCTTACCAACGGGGTTGTCCAGCACAGGGACCTTTAACCCAGGACTTACGGCTCAAAATGTGTCCAGCACAGGGACCTTTAACCCAGGACTTACGGCTCAAAATGTGTCCAGCACAGGGACCTTTAGCCCAGGACTTACGGCTCAAAATGTGTCCAGCACAGGGACCTTTATCCAGGACTTACGGCTCATAATGTGTCCAGCACAGGGACCTTTAACCCAGGACTTACGGCTCAAAATGTGTCCAGCACAGGGACCTTTAACCCATATCCCAGAGTCAACCCTCGTGTGCACACCTATACCAATAGACCACTGCTGATACACGTATCAAAAACCCCCGCGGGCCTTACATTCGATGCCCAGACAGTGGGAGTAAATCCACCCCGAATGCCTGGAAACATTCCTTCGGACTTACATCGAGGATCACCAGCCAAGGCTCACGCCCTGACTGCCATATATTAATAAAGGAGACACCCATCGGGTACGTTCTATAGCTACGGGGATAACTGTTCGACGGCCAATATAGCTCACATCGAAGGCTACATGGTTCACATGCATACTTTGATCATACCACAACAATAACAATTAATTAATGCATAGAAACTTTTCAAATAAAACCCACCTGGTAAATCGGTAGAAAAAGCACACAAATAGGTTGGTAGGTCGAGGGCTCGACTCCTCAAACACCTACATTTAAGCGAGATTTTAATCAATAATTTATCTCACTACTCGAAGTTAACATATAATTCACACTTAATCAAAAATAATGATTAATGGATTTTTATCGAATTTTATCGTGGACTTGGAACTCTCAAATTTTTTAAAGAAAAAACCCGGAGGGCGAAAATAGAGTCTCGGGACTTAAAATAATTTTTCCCAAATTTTCCTCAATTTAAAAATATTTTTAAAATTAAAAACGGTATTAAAAACGGGCTTCCAGAACTCAAAATTTTCAAAAAGGTCAACTGGGCCGAGCTGCCAATTCACTGGCCAAAGCTGCCCCATATTTGGGCCTCACAAACGAAATTGGGCCGGAATCTAAGCGAATTGGGCTGGGAAGTCGAGGCCTGCTACCAGGTGAGGGCGCGGGCTTCACCGGGCCTTCGTGGGCCGGGACGCGGGCTCGCGGGCCGTGGCTGCTGAGTGATGTCGGGCCGCGCGCGGGCTGACTTCGGGCCACACGGCCCGCGCGCCTAGGGATTAATCCTGGGCTGGGCAAGCTGGGAATGGGTTTCGAACTCAGTACCAAAGGCACGAAAATGGCATAGCACCCCACTGCACCATCTGGCTTGGTTGTGACTTAAAATAAAAGTAATAGCTACTAGAATAAAAATAAATGGCCTGCTGGGAACAAAAGAACAGGTATTTTTTTGGCAGCGACTCAACAGAACAGAGCTTTGCAAAATACTTCATTCGGCCACAGATTTCGACGGCGATTTCGAGCACGACGATGGTTCGATTAATCTAACGAAAATTTTCAAACGAATAACGAATATCACAGAATTCGAAAATATATATATACATCGGGTTTTTGGCTCGAAAAACGAAACGACGAATAAGAATCGAAACGAATGAGACGGCCCGGAAAATTTAAACGACACTCCGAATCTTACTCGAACAATCACAGCAACATGCGGGATTCGATTATTTACAAAATGAGAGTTCCGATTTTCCACGAAATTTCACGACACACAATCCGACGAACAAAACAATATGCCGATTAATGAACCAAACGATTAACCAGAAACGATTGAATGAGCACAAATAAGTCTGCGAATTACACGAGCACATGAGAATAACTGAAGAGGGTTGGAAATAATTTACCCGTCTTCGGGAATTTGCCCGGAAATCTGAAACCGGAACAGACGAACGAAAATTGATACTCGAAAGCCTCGACGGAACTCGGACCTCTGAACACGGGGACTGAGGGAATTGCTCGCGAACAGTTACTCGCTGGAGTGGACGCCGGAATTGAGTTTTCGCCGGAAATAATGGTGACGACAACAATTTTTTTTTTTTTTTTTTTTTTTTTTTTAAAAAAGCAAGCTGCGGATTTTTGAACTGAAATTGGATGATGATTGAGGGTGATAAGCTCCGTCGATATGTATAGAAGAGAACGAGCGAACGTGCGATGTGAATCCGCAGAAGAATCGCAACTGATTTGAAGGAGCGGACTTAGTCGTACAGAGCGAGGAAGAGGAAATTATTTGATCCGATTGTGCACGTGCAGTGTGATAAGAGAATGGGCCAAAGCTAAACACATATGGGCCAAACAGATTGGGCTTAGAATTTTGAAAGGAGAATGGGCCAATAACAAAATAATCAATATGGGTCAAATATTACTCAAAGCTCGATAGAGAATAACGGCTCGATAAGGCAACCGCGATAACAAGAATTTCCGATCGATTCAATTGACGACGAATAACAAATATAATTACACGACTTATTATATCAATTAGACCACATGTAATTAAATATTAATAAGTCTAAACGAAAAATGTCGAGCAATCATACCATATAGACAATTATTTCAAACAATAATAATAAGATTAGTAAAAATACAAATACACATTTTAACTAAATAACAACACTTAGACAATTTAGGTAAATAATTACAGTGACACATAAATCATTTTAGACATTTAAATAATATTTAGTATCAATAATAATAACAACAAATAAAGATAAATAATAATAACAATAATAATACTAATAATAATAATAATAAAATAATAAATTATTCTCAAATATTCAATAGTCAAACGGGACATTACACATGTCTACTAGCGTTTGTGCAATGGGATGCCGCGGCCATGTCTACTAACGTGTGTGCAATGTGCATCCCGTGGATACACACTATTATTTCAAACTTGTGCACCCTATTTACTCGACTCAATTTTCATTATCATTTCCAAGTTTAAGATGGCGGGAAATTTCACGTACCTCGTACGCTTCTGCCCATATTTAAGACCACACCGTCAAATTACACTTTTCAAAATTTTGGAAAAATCTTTCTAGTCTAGGGTTTCCAATTTCCTAAATCCTGAATCCCCAATTTGTTTATTTCAAGTTATCTAAAACACTGAATTACAGCTTCAACATTCAATTTAATTGTTTCCTTTTCTCTTTAATCACACAGTCGGGATAGTCGGTCATGGGGAGTAAGGCCACCGAAGAAATCATCTCAACCGTCCGGTCGATCATCGGCGACGAATTTTCCGACATGGACATAATTCGAGCACTCCACATGGCCAAGAACGACCCAACCGCCGCCATCAACATTATCTTCGACACTCCCAGAAGCTTCAGGAAGCCTGAACTCCCCAAGAAGTCCCAGCCCTCCAACAGTAATTGGAGCTCAGAGTTTCGTACAGTGATTGCTTCCAGAGAAAATCGGGATGGTGATCGTGGTGAGGATTCAGATACCTGCTTGAATCGAAGCGGGAGTTTAGACAATAGTGTTTCGGGAATGGAGGTTGAGGTAAATGGGAGTGACGTGACTGCAGTGGCTGAAGAAATGGGGAGCGAGTGGTGGTTTGTGGGGAACGGCGAGGTGTCAGGGATGTCCACTTGTAAAGGGAGGATCTTGAGGCCTGGTGATGAGGTGAATTTCACTTTCCCGACTGAGAAAAAAGTGGCAGCACCTTCACCTGGAAAGTTAAAGGGTGGCCGGGGTCGGCAGGTGGCTGGGTGCTCTGAGATTGTAAGGTTTTCTACCAGTACTTGTGGAGAGGTACTGTTGAATATCATCATTTTTCTGAACGGAATTTTCCTTTTGTAAATTCTCAAGAGAAATTTTCTGTAGTAGGTGCATTACTTAATCAAAGTTCCTTTTTCTTTTCTGTTGTGAATAAAAGGTTAGATGGTATTGGGCAACCATCTTCTCCCTCATTATTTTTTCTAGAATGTGAAACTTTTCTCTACGTGGTTATTTTAATTTATTGAGATGGTGTACAACTGTTTTATAATATTGGACTTGGGCAAGAGATTACATGAGTAAAAGATTCAGCGTCATTGTCTTATTGTTCGAGAATGCTTGAACATTTGAGTTGCTACTTAAGCAAATATCTTGCTTATTCAGTATTAATAACATAAAGGCCGCAATGCCTCATATGATTGATAAATATATATTTTTTTCTGGTTGCATGTTATAATGTTGATATGGACTGTTGCAGATTGGCCGTATTCCAAATGAATGGGCTCGGTGTCTTTTACCTCTTGTGAGAGATAAAAAGGTTTGTCTTAAGGGTTATTGCAAATCATCTCCTCCTGTTCTGGGGATTATGGACACTGTTGTCTTATCTATAAGGTATGTCAGTAGCAATTAACATTTTTATGAAATTGCCATTTGTATGTGTGCAGAACTAGCAAATGTCAGTTTAGCAGTAATTTGCATTGAGAAATAACGCATTTGTTCTGATTTTGTGTTGGGAGCGTAGGGTGTATATCAATAGCTCCATGTTTCAAAAAAGCCATGTGACTTCAATTAAGGGGTCCAGTAACTCTTCCGAGGAGTCTGTTGTTCACCCCCTTCCAACTTTGTTTAAACTGCTGGGACTTGCTCCTTTTAAGAAGGTGAATATAATTTACTTTTTTCAAACTATTGGTGAAGATTTCAAATACTAAATCATATATAAAATGGATTTCTTGGCTGGGCCGCCTTGCTTTGCGTAAATGGCATGTGTTGTGCTTTACTGCTAAGCTGACTTTTATTCTTTGCTGCAGGCAGAATTCACTCCAGGAGATCTGTGCACAAAGAAAAGGCCTTTAAATGCTGAGGTACAATATCCAATTTACTAAATAGTAACTATATCAAGCATGAATAGATTTTGATACTTAAATTTAAATGAACAGGACAGCTCTTTTTTACCTCCACCATTCCTTCATATAAATAAGTCAAAGAGCACATCTCCAGGTGATGGAAACAATGTCGAAAATGAGGAGCCAATTTCCGATAATGACCTTGACAATATCGTTGGTGTCACAGACAACTCAGTGTTAGAGGTTAATAGTTATTTTTTGATGTCTCTGCTTACTCGTATCTTTATCTTTATAATTATTTTTCGATGTCTCTGCTCACTCCTTGTATCTTTATGATTTTTCTAGGAAATGGAACCGCCTAGTTCCCTGCTATGTGATCTTCGGCCTTACCAGAAGCAGGCTCTTAATTGGATGGTCCATCTGGAGAGGGGACATTGTATTGATGAGGCTTCAACCACTCTACACCCTTGTTGGGATGCTTATCGCCTAGCTGATAGGTCTGTGGATATTCAATGCTGTGGCTTACTTTATTTGCTAGTTGTTTTTTGTTTATATACATATATATATATATATATATATATACTTAATGAAGTTGGTTCTGTTATTTGTAGAAGGGAGTTGGTTATATATGTATACTTATTGAAGTTGGTTCTGTTATTTGTAGAAGGGAATTGGTTGTATACCTAAATTCCTTTTCTGGTGATGCTACGGTGGAATTTCCAAGCACACTCCAAATGGCTAGAGGAGGAGTATGTAGATAATTTTACTTTTATGTTGCTTTTATGTTCCTGCATTTCCTCGTATTGCAATGACTTGTCCGATTACAGAATACAATTTTAGATTTTGGCAGATTCCATGGGACTTGGAAAGACTATCATGACTATATCTCTCCTTCTCACCCGATCTGAAAGAGGTGGATCCACATGTATTGCATCTACCAGCCAATCATCTACTGAGAGCAGTGAAGCAAGCTACAGTTCAGACAAATCTCCAATACCTCCAAAGAAAGCAACAAAGTTTACTGGTTTCGAAAAGCTAAGGAAACAAAGAGCCATGCTGTTCAGTGGTGGCAGTCTAATTATCTGCCCTATGACACTTTTAGGCCAGTGGAAGGTATGATGTTCCAGTGCTCAGATTAGTTTTTCATGATGTATGTAGAAGTTCAAATGCAACAGTAATTATTCTTATTGTCTAAATATAAAACCCACCAAGACTGATCATCTGCATTTCTACTTTTTAGACAGAGATCGAAACTCATGCTCAACCAGGGGCTTTGTCACTTCATGTTCATTATGGACAAAGTAGAACAAAGGATCCAAAATTCCTTGTGCAAACTGATGTTGTGCTAACTACTTATGGAGTGCTAGCTTCAGAATTTTCAACAAAGGTACTTTATAATTCTTGAACTGTAGATGAAGCAGCTTGGGAGGATTTCTCCTCTCCCTTTTAAATTTTGTGTTTTTGGGTTGAAAATTGGGTGACAATGTTAAACAACTTTAACTTCATTAAGTCCTTAAAGTCCGCTGTTTGAAAAATGTATTGCCCTTACTGTATGTAGAATGCGGAAGACAATGGGGGACTATTTTCGGTCAGATGGTTTAGGGTTGTTCTTGACGAGGCACATACCATAAAATCATCGAAAAGTCAAGTTTCTATTGCTGCTGCTGCTCTTGCTGCTGACTGTCGATGGTGCCTTACTGGGACACCTATCCAGGTAAATGATAACTTTCTGGTAGCTCGCTAGTCTGGTGAATGCTTGCAAATGCAATATCAGCTTTTACACTGATTCATGCTGTTCTTTCTTTTCTCCCTGAAATACTACTATTAGAAGTCTTTGAATTTGTTTTCTTACTTGTGGGCTCTAGCACAAGTATCACCTCCAGCAACCTTCATTGACATGTGTTCATTGATTTGCTTGTACATTTCCTAGTGTAGTTTTTTCTATGTATGATGAATTCATTTACAGATAAAACTAAGGTTTTTTAAAGAGTTCAAGAAACTTTTGGTTAACCTTATGCGAACCACCAATTGTGCTAAATGTTAGTTGTGATATACTTTTGGTTTGTGGTTATGACAAACTTAAAGCATTCTTCTTGGGGCTTCCTGGTACTTTGAACTTGTTATTGGTCTGTGGGTCTGTGTAGATAGCATTTTATTCCATTGCCTGCTGGAGACATTAGGGTTCTGGCTTTGGTTGACTAATGGTGAGGGGTTATGCTGTACAAAGCTGTATAAGGTGTTTAGGTGATCAGCTATATAAGTTCAGTGATAAGAAGATATTTCATATAAGTTTCTTAATAAAATAATAGTAATGTATCTAAAGGTTATTTCTTGTAGCAGAATAACCTGGAGGATGTTTTCAGTCTGCTTCGATTTTTGAAGATTGAGCCATGGGGAAGCTGGGCATGGTAAACAACTTATCAAAGTTTCACACATTTTGGTTGACGTCAAGTTTTTACAATTTGCAATATTTTTCTGATAAACTTCGAATCGTAAAGTGCCTGTTTATGGCGCCTTAACATTTCCCTTTAGTTTGATGATCCTTAACCCTACTTCCCTATATTTATATCTCAGTTCAGTTTCCTTTTAGCGTTTGTTGAAAATGATTTCCATATGTTGTTGGATCCTATACTCTACAGGATTGATGCCATTCGTTATATAGTCTATTTACTTTTGTCCGCCTCAACTTATCATTCTTACACCCTTCGTCTTTAGATAATTGGCTGCGACTGGAAACCAAATTTATTTTCTTCTCATCCTTATCTATCTCTGCTATAACTGTTTGTTTTTAAGCCTTGCTTGTTCCCTGCATGCTTACTCGTTCATCTTCCACTCCGTACTGTTTGTCCCTTCTTCTGTTTGCTTAATGGCGTTGGTCAAAACTCAAAAAATGAGGTGGACTTTTCACCAATTACTTAGGTGGAATAAGCTAGTCCAGAAACCTTTTGAAGAGGGTGATGGAAGGGGATTAAAGTTGGTCCAATCTATTTTAAAGCCCATCATGTTAAGAAGAACCAAGTCTAGCACCGACAAGAAAGGCAGGTGGGTATCCTAAAGCTACCATTTTCTTTTTTCCTTTTTGTTTCTTATAAATGTGCAACTTACTGTCTTTGTGCTGGACCGAGCCTAACTTTATTTTCTGCAGGCCTATTTTAGTTCTGCCACCTGCGGATGTTCAAGTAGTATATTGCAATCTTACGGAAGTAGAGAACGACTTTTATGGAGCATTGTTTAAAAAATCAAAGGTACTATCATATGGTTTCTGTGTATGCAATTTATCTTTGTTGTCGTCCGAATTAAATCTCCTATATGCATATTTTGATTTCAGGTTAAGTTTGATCAGTTTGTGGAGCAAGGACGTGTTCTCCATAACTATGCTTCAATTCTGGAACTACTCTTACGTCTTCGTCAATGTTGTGATCATCCATTTCTTGTTTTAAGGTGTGAATATATCTTTAGGAACTAGCCTGAAAGATTTTGCCAACTTGGCTGCAGTTGTAACTGTATGAAAGATGCAGAAAGTCAACCTATGCGAAATACATTATAAATCTTGGCAGATATTACTAAATGTCCTTTTCTCCCTTTGTGTCTTTAGCTTGTGAGATTTTTCCTGGGGGAGTGGGGTGGGGTAGGAGGTTATGATGATTATGGTGTCTTGCCAAACCTATGTTTGTCTATGTTGTGTCTTTGTGGGTTTGCATTTATACAAATCAAAACTGCTATTTACATGTATAGTAAAAGTTCTGGATTACGACAGCCCCTTCCATGCCTAACACTTCTGCCCCTTTAGATTTATTCATGGGAGCTCACACATGTATCGCTTGTTATTTCTGCTGGTGATATAAATTTGTCTATGTTTTACAGCCGAGGAGACACTCAGGAGTACTCTGATCTGAATAAACTTGCGAGGCGTTTCCTCAAAGGTGGCCCGGAGAATGATGGCCCGAATTGCGAAGTACCTTCCCGCGCTTATATTCAGGAGGTAGTGGACGAGCTACGCAAAGGGGAACAAGGTGAATGCCCAATATGCTTAGAGGCTTTTGAAGATGCTGTGTTGACTCCTTGTGCTCACCGACTTTGCCGAGAGTGCCTTTTATCCAGCTGGAAGGGTACTGCAACTGGACTTTGTCCCGTTTGTAGGTAGCAGTGTTTGGTCCTTTTCTAATATTTCCCATCTTGTTTTTCCTGTGATTACAAACTCGCTATTTTGGACGCACATGTGAAAATGGACGATGGTGTTCCACACCAAAAAAATAAATAAATAGAAGTAAAAAATAAAAATAAAAGTGAAATATGAGATTCTAGAGAGGGTAGCTATATTTTAAGTAATGTTGTCAAAATTGCTGGTCTGGCCTGGCATTTGCCTGCTTGGCCGAAGGAAAGATTGGACCTTGGTCGAAAGTAGAGAAGTAGGGCTGTTTTATCTTGCTGACAGCAGCAATTGATCTGCTAAAAAAGCTGGGCCATTTAAGATTACAGGCTTATGTAACTTGAACCGACCCAAATCAAAAACACCGGGCTGGTTTGGCCTGGCTAAAATTGACAGCTCATTTTTTGAGCAGCACTGAATGTTTAGGAATGGTGATTACTTGCTATGATCATCTATTTGATATGATGATTCCTTGACCTTGACTATTTTCACAGGAAGACATTTAGCAAACAGGACCTCATCACTGCCCCTACTGAGAGTCGATTTCAGGTTGATATTGAGAACAACTGGGTGGAGTCGTCTAAGGTCTCAGCACTAATGCGCGAACTGGGACATCTACAGTCGACGGGCTCGAAAAGTATTGTCTTCAGTCAGTGGACTGCCTTTCTGGATTTGCTGCAGATTCCTCTTTCTCGGTGAAGTCTTTTGTCGTTTTCCAAATACTTTTTTCTCCATTTTCTTTATAATTTAATTTCAAGTTATTTTTTCATGTAGTTTCACTTTTATTTTGCGTATGACTGCAAGAATAAGATTATGCTTCTTCTCACGAGTTGTTGTTTCTGGACTCGATGAGACAAGTGTCAATATCCAATTTTTAGTTTCTGGAGTGGGTGAGACAAGTGTGAACATCCAAGTTTTAGTTTTCAAATTTTCATATAAATTAGCGAAGGACTTGCCTTCTTCCCATTGTGTCTACTTGAGGAATGACTTTATGGTTTAAAGCTAATTGTCTTAATTTTTACTTGTTCTGGCAGCCCATTGTGCTTTATACATTCTCTCTCTCTCTCTCTCTCTCTATATATATATATATATGTATGTATATAAATTTTTCACAGATTATCATGGAACTGATATTATTGATTGTGCATGTTCTGCAGGAGTAATATCAAATTCCTTCGTCTGGATGGGACCTTGAACCAGCAGCAGCGTGAGAAAGTGATAAAGCAATTTTCGGAGGAAGATGACATCAAAGTGCAATTTTATTCTTTTTCTCTTAAAGTTATATGAAAGGAATTACTTAGGCTGGACCGTTTTGAATATTTGTTATTTTTCAGGTATTACTCATGTCGCTGAAGGCCGGTGGAGTTGGTATAAATCTCACTGCAGCCTCTAATGCTTTTGTGATGGTATAACATTTCAGATAACCTGAAAAATTCTTTCCAGATGGAACAACATTAAATGTGTTTTCCGATAATGATTTTTATGTGTTCTGAGATTGTACTCGCAATAGTTACAATAATTAATAATTGTCACGTCAATTCAGTGATACAATCTTTGTTGTTTTTCTTTTCAATAATGTTCGTATCAGAATTTGTCTTTCTACTAAAATTCTGACAACTTTTGTGTAGGACCCATGGTGGAATCCGGCAGTTGAGGAACAAGCAGTTATGCGGATTCATCGCATAGGGCAAACCAAAAGTGTGATTATCAAACGGTTTATTGTGAAGGTACTTTTTAGAGCATTTGAGTAATTACAAATATTACACTTGTGCCGTAACCTAAACACTAGACTTGTTAGTCTTATCCACATTAATACAAAACCTTGATGCATGTATGTTTTATTGCTTCTAATTACAATCTCTTGAACTGATAGAAATTTCAAGGGCAGATCCTTGAATACCCGTTATGGTAGAATATTTATGGAGGTCAAAGTGAAATGAAAATTAGTTCACCTATTCTGCAAAGTCACGAGCACGCGCTACCAGTGCGACTTAGGGATATCTATGACAAGAATATAAATTGACTTATTTATTTTTATTTTATTTAATTAAATATTGTTTGGTATTGGCAGGGGACTGTTGAGGAAAGAATGGAAGCAGTACAAGCTAGAAAGCAGCGTATGATATCCGGTGCTCTTACTGATCAGGAAGTCCGATCTGCACGTATTGAGGAGCTTAAAATGCTCTTCACGTAGACGCTACATTTCTATCTACCCACATTATCTTACACTTTCAACTGCTAAAATATGCCTTTTCATTTCTTGGGGACCCCAACAGTGGCAAAAGTCGGGTTTAGCTGAAGTGTATAATATCCGGCGCTGGTGGAATTCATGTCATTAATGAGTCATGAGATTATTTTAGAAGCTGGAGAGAAGTTAAAAAGAAGCTTGTACGAACATCGTTAGAGCCTCCAGTGGTATTTTTTACGCAATTATAGCTGCCAGGTTGATAATTACTCTACTGGGTGTCTTTGGAGCGGCCGTCAAGGAAGATTTTGTTCTAATAATCGAACGGGTGATATTTTGTAGGGGAGGAGATTAATGCTGGTCTAATTTTTGATTTACTGTGTCAAGCGTAATTAGTATTCTTTTGTGGTAGTTATATTGTTATTTTAAAGCTTGTAGAGAAAAGAAATTTTCATTAACTGTAATTTTTTGTTTGTTTTGTTTTTTTTTTTTCGAAACGATAGATAATTTTATAAATTACAAAAAGATGTAATGGAAGCTTTTTTCTTTTTGTAAAGCATCAACTGCCAGGTTGATAATTAGTAACTCAATCGCTATTCACCGCCCCCCCCAATTACTCTTTTGCCCTTAACCCTTTTTTTGATTTCATCTCTCTAAACTTTCTATCTCTCTAAACTTCCGAACTTCAACGAACGATTCGAGCGTTAAAAAAAATTCAAAAAAATGTCGAAAAGATTCTACGGCCTCGGCAAAGGATTCTTCTCCAACAAGGTAATTTTTTTTTTTTTTTT